TTCTCCGGCAGCGAGGGGAGTAACGAAGCCAGGTGGATGTTGGATCATCGTCCTCCGCGCTGCAGTCCTCGACAGGCAAAACGTGGGAGAGGCACACATGTTGAGCTGGCGTCAGCTGCCTTACAGAGGGAGTTCTTTGTCTCCAAGGCAGGTCTGCGGCCTTCAATCCCTTGGACATGCTATATGCTAGCAGCGCACGTTGTTGCTAACTGCGGCTGCCTGAAAACACATTGGTGGGCTCGATTTGAGAGCGTGTTCGCCGTCTGGTTCGTGTTCCTCCAGAGGGACGGGACGCTGCTCCGACCTGGGCAGCTTCGCTCCGGAAGCTTCCGCGAGGCTTGGCTCCAGGGGGGGTTACCGAGGAATAGCCCCGCTCGGTGAATCCCTCAACTCTGGTGATGGGAGCGGACTGGGGACCGACTCCTCTAATCTACCAGGAAAGAACCGTCTGCGGCCTCGCCCGTGGAACGTCCTGTTGGAACGCGAGGCCGTATGGGTCAAGACGGTGAGCCACAGTGGAGCCCAGTGAAAAATAACCTTTCCGCCGATCATCCGAACTGGCGGGAAAAGGCGAGGGACGTAGAAAAAAGGGGTCCCTTCATGTCAGCCTCCTCCCGGGTTCCGCCGGGCAACCCCTGAGGGCGCTGTCGGCCGGGAGCGGTGTGATCGCCGATGCGAAACGAGGTGGGATGGGGTGAGCATTCACTCAGCCCCCCTCCACCTACACTACGCTCCCCGGGAGGGAATGAGCAGCGGGGGCTGCAGCTGAGCACGCCTTGCCCTGGAGGAACCATCCGGTTCGCCCCGAGGGTCGGCGATAAGAGGAAAAAACACAAGATGGCGTTGTCCAGCGTGTAGTGACCTGTCACTGGGAAATGTTCCTCGACGCTTACCTTGGAATAAGACTGCTGTCATCTTCTCCTCGGGGAGGAGAACTCACCGGACGACCGGAGGTCGACTGCCGGGCCAAGCATCCTTCACAAGGTTGGTCATTTACACAATTTATCTTCTTTGTTCTTCTGACAGTGCTATATTAGCTCGCTGAAGAAAAAATGGGAGCCGATTTCCCGCTCTTAACGTAATTTATACGGACCGGGTGGGGCCCACACAGCAGGTGGGCGTGGACTAATTTTTTTCAGTGCTTATGCTCTGCATAACGGGATAAACCACTAAAGCGAAGGCCTTAAAGGGCGAAGCTTATACGACATAGAACTTTTCACACAACCATAAATGAGAGGAAGACACTGTGGTGAAAATAAAGGTTGATGAGAGCACACACACACGCACACACACACAAAAAAAAAACTCAGTGGATTTAAAAGGTAATATTCACACAGGCAAATGCTGGAAAATACATTTTTTGTAAAAAACATGCAGAAACTTTAGTTTTGTTGTTAGCTTTGAAGATTTTCTTTCATTTGGTGCGTAGACGCCAACTTTAATTCCAACTTTTCATTGAAAAATTGACATTTTTGTTTACAACAAAAAAAGTGTTTTTTTTTGTTTGTACTTTGTTTTTAGTTGAACAAATACTTCTGTTCAATAACTTAAAAAAAATATGAAGATTTTGAGTGACAAAGGAAAATAATAAACATTTATTAACCTTTATTTAATTGTGCAAATCCCATTGAGATCACAGATCATTTTTTTCCAAGAGAAGCCTGGGCCTGAACATAGTTTTTTTTTTTTTTGGTGTTGCTCTTACTGTTTTTTTTTTGTGTTTTTTTTTTACCGTGGGAGGAACTCAAAATACCTGGAGAAACTCACACAAACATGTGAAGAACATGCCAGCTCTGCACAGAAAGACACCAGGCTACAACCGGAGCTTGAACCCAGGACCATCTTGCTGTAAGGCAATGTCGCTTCCAACTAATACATCATACTGCCAGGTGTTATATTAAAGGAAATATGTTTTTTAACCATAAAACTTTTTTTTAAATCAACTCAAAGTCAAAATTTTAAATCAACCAAAACTTAGTAAATATTTAATACCATTTCATAAGTTGGTAATTATATTCCAAAAGGAGAAGTCAGAGCCATCCAAAACCAGAATTGATGTGTCAGTTTAACAAAAACTGTACGATAGAATTTGCTCAAATTTGTAGCAAGTAGAGCCCGGACAATATGGACATTTTGGCTATCGCTGATGCCAATATTGTGTGTGTGTGTGTGTGTGTGTTAATGCCAATAACAGATATAATGGCTGGAAATTCTTTAGCTTTGTCCACCCTCAAGAATCTAAGCAAACAGCTTCTTTAAAACTTGTTTCAACACTTGAAGTCTTGAAACGGTCTTCAAAACGTGCGTTCACATTTTCTATCCTCCACTATTCATTATAACGTTTTCAAGTGTGCTACAAAAATATTAAACAAAGAAATGCCCTTCCCTGTTCATTGTTTAAACAGTCACATTTGGTGCAGGCCTAATTAGCATAGACTGCAGCGGCTTTTTATTTTTATTTGCAGAGAAGTTAAGATTTGAGACAAACGATGCATTTTATTGAGGACGACAGATAATGTTACTAACACTGATATATTTGACCTCTACATTAGATTAATGGTTCTGGATAAAGTTTTACAAGGCAATAGCCTATGCTAGGTTATCTAAACGTTAGCTTGCTAACTTAAGAGGAACGTAGCTAATGACAAGCTGGTTGGAGGATTAAAGAGAATTTATCATTGATTTATTTTACATCAGTTAAAATAAACTTACTGTTCAGCAAAATACACCACACAGTACTGCTCCCTGCTTCGGCTGTGCTGAATGTGAAAGTTAAAATGAACGGCCATGACTTGAAAGTAGTCTGCACCTGCCCTCGGCTGAATAGATTGTACACAAAGAAGGACCCGGCCTGTTCCCAGTGTTTATATTGGCACCTAATGGGACAATTATCACGATACTGATATGTCCCATTAGGCGCCTATATCGGCCAAAAATATCAGCTGTAACGATAAATCAGTCGGGCTCTAGTATTAAGTGCATTTGAATTTTTGTTAATTGTTTTTAAACAAATAAAATCTAATTAATGAGCTGCATTTCATTTTAATTTCTTTAACAATAAAAGTGATTATTTCCATTTAGTCCTTCTCTTTGTGAACAAAACCCTCAAAGATTCTTAATTTATTCACGTGTTCCAGTTCAAACAATGGTTCCTTGTAATTTAATTACACAGCAGCAACTACTACAGCTGAAAAACATTCGTGGTTGAATGTTTACGAGTTGCTGTTGGATTAAACTCGAAGGTTTGTGTATTGTTTCAACTCATGCTGAAGATCGAATTATAATGATAATGAACCACTGTGACAATATAGTCCAATCCTGGACTTCATACAAGGATTAACTAGAGCAGAATCATTTCTACCTACAACTATTCATTTCTTGTTTCCTAATCATTCTTGCTACTTTTCTTATCTTTTGTTTTTTCAGGTTTTAAAACACAGTCAGTGCACCAACATAAAAAATAAACTGAGATAGATGCAAATACTTTATTTTCTACTTCACAATTATATGATTTTACAGTGGCTTTGTTTGCAAGAAAAAAAAAAAACATAAGTCAAGAGTGGTGTGTCATCTCTCAACAGAAATTCACAAGATTTGAAAAAGAACAACATATAAAGCTGTTTGTGAGCGTAGCGTACAAGCTCCTAAAAAGAAAGATCATATCTACAACTGGTTAGTAAAGTACGATTTATTGCTAATATAAAAAGTAAAAGAAAAAAAATCTGAGAGGAAAACCTGCAGAGAAGGAAATTAAATAATAATAATATAGAAAATGATTTTTCAAAAAGCCTACGCATTCCAAACAATGTTAAGCATACTGGAAAAAGTCCAAGCCTTTTTCAAAGTATATGAAATAAATTAAACATGAAATGGTCATGATGTCTTACCTTATATTCTTCCCTAAAGATTGCCTCAGAAATTCTTAAAGCTCTGCTGTGTTTTGATATCCAATAACCTGTTTATATGCCAACAGCTAATAATCTGTGTTTGTGAGTGTTAGTACCTGTGGCTAGATTTGGTGAACTCTGGACCCTCTTCATGGCAGAGAGTGTGAGTGACAAGGCCACACTTTTGCGAACACATCCTCCGCTATCTGAGGAATCCCAGCCAGGTGGTGACCGTTGAGGCCGAAGCAGAAGCACACATGCACATGCACGTAAACAATAATACAAACACACAAACGTGTCCAGCCAGAAAATAAATAAATAAATAAATTATGCAAACAGTTAGAGACAAAGCACATGCATTTATCTTCCTAGTTTTCATTGCAGCACTATTATTATCATTATTATAACCATAAATAAATTAAAGTTTTGAAATTAAATAATTCCATGTTATTAGATTATAATTAAAGTTTCATGACAGAAAAAAAATTCAGAATTTTCACCATTTAATTTCAGCTACTTCATATGATTTTAAATGAGGTTTTATTAATTTAATTCCTCTCATTTTAATAAATATTACAGTATGAATAAAACTATAAAACGATGAAAAGTATCCATAGTGGAGAAATAAAAGTCAGAATATCCTGTTTGATACAAGCCGACACATATTGAAATATGTTTGACACCTTGTTAATGGGTGAACTACAGTTAAACAAATTTTCTAAAATAAAACATGTCCTTAAAAATGTATACAAAAAAAGAGAAACGCACAAAATACACATATTGTATAAACTTATACCAAAATAGCTGAAAATTTTCCATTTTAATTCCAAATAATGTTGTCAATTTCACATAAAAAACAGTCATTTGTGATCTTGATCAACTCAACTTCAGCTCGTCATGACAAATTTTAGACAGTTTTGGAAGTTAAACAAGTCTAAAGGTACAGGTTGACAATTATTAGTGTTTTTTTTTATTTCATTCTTGTATTATTTTTCAATAGAATCAAACTTATGGCCATACGACCGTGGCCCAACGTTTTCTTTTCCATTTTTTCCAATCAAAACCAGTAGACGTCAACAGAGTAAATGGATGGCCGTGTTCTTGTGTACATACCTGTATTCATAGTGAAGAGCACTTTTTAATGATCTACAACAGGGGGGTACACTTTCCTGTCAAAAAGCAAAAACAAAACAAAGTAGGTAAGTGAAAGATTTGCACTATTTACATTTTTTAAAGTGCAAACGTATTTACTCTTTGCAGCAATATACTGAACTTGACTGTAAATTTCTTGAGGGCAATCCAAGAAATGAGCTGGACAGTTTTCAGGTCAAAATACCAAGTTGGTAAGCCGGAGAAATTCATAAACACAAGGTCTCCCTCAAAACATTCAAGTCAACTGCTTCAATTAAAGCTGAAGAAAAGAGGTAGTACAACCTCTATATACGGACTATACTATTCTGTCATGCTCAGAATTAGAAACTCAAGTATGCATGACCACAAAAGAGAAAGTGGTTCAATAACACACCAAATAATAGACCTAAACACATCTCTGTGTTTAACATGCTGATTATTTAGAATAATCTTCTTTATATTTCTGTAAGACAACTTAAAAAAGACTTATCACTTCAGTGCACACAGTGTACCATCCATCAATTATATTTTACCCACTTCTTCCTTTTAGAGTCACGGGGGTCAATGGTCCCCTGTGCGAGAGGCAGGGGGGACACTCTGGACAGGTGTCCAGTCCATCACAGGGACACATAGAGACAAACGAGACAAACAACCATTCATTCTCTCACTCACACCTAGAGACAATTTAGAGTTACCAATCAGACTAACATGCATGTTTTGCTGAGAGGTGGCAGCTCTATTGACTAAGCCACTGTTCCGCCTCACAGAATACCATTCATTTAAGAACAAAAACTGTATTTTAGTAAAATTGTGTAGCCTAAAAATGATAAACAATATGACTTGAAAATAATATAGATTGTTTTAAGTAATGCATGTGATTCAGCACAGTCCAAGTATTTAAAGTAGGGATGCACGATATTATCGGCATGGTATCGGTCGAGATTAGTGTTAAATTTAAATATCGGACATCGGCCATTCCATCAAAATGACTCACCGGTATAAAAGGCGTTGTTTTAGCAATGCATCACTGTAGTTTGCAGATAACCAAAATACTAAAATGTAGTGCATGTTATTTGGCATGTTTTGCCTGTTTGAACTTCCCATGCTCTGTTAAACAATTTTTGTAGCAAATAAGTTTAAATAAGAAGGCTATGTTCTGACAAAGGAAAGAAGCTGACAATATTTTTTGAACTTTTGATTTTATTTGCACATAGCAGAATTCATAGAGATTTGAGTTGATCGTCAAGATTGGATACCCACATACTGGGCTTCTGTTTTAAGTTCATTTTTAATTTAAGAAACCGTCAAGTATAGCTATCAATGCACTACTACTGGTGCGCTTTTCACTTGTGGCTTGTGAACAGGTTGAGTTTAGGTTTGTGAAAATTGACAAACTTGCACTGTTTGAGTGTTGTCATTGTGTTAGAGAGAGTAAATGTCATGAATAAATTTGACATTAAACATAATCCAGGAAGTGTTACATCATTTTCAGCCCCCTTTTTGACATCTGCATTTGGTAGCAGACCAAACTGACAAAGACCATGTAGAATAATGTAGTAGTTTAATTCCACAGCAGAGAAAACTCTGTAGTCTCTAGGTCGAGAAAAAAATTAACAGGGTTGGTATCGGTTATTGGTCAAATAGGTTTTAACATATTCACATATCAGATATTGACCAAAAATCCAACATCATGCATCCCTAATTTAAAGAGTAAACGTTGAACATTTCTGCACAGAATGAATCTGATATCTACATCATTTGAGGTACAGTAAATAAACATGCAGTGTGCTGACTTTAAGCAATGACTGTGAGATGGGGAAAAATGTACCTTCGATTACTGCTTTTATTTCTCCTAAAAGATGTACAGGCAGAAAGACTTGATGGTAAAATTGCATTTGAAACATAGAATGAATAAAGTCATCCACTGCACTTCTTCTACGCAAATATGAAGAAAGAAAGAAAAAAAGTTTGTCAGCATAAACCTTAAACCGTAATGAAAGGATAAATGGATAAAACAAAAACACAGTTAAACACCTGATCATTCATTTATAGTTGTATTTTTTATTTATTTATCCAACTCAGTTAATGCTTCTCACACAAAAAGACATTGAATCTAAACGAACACATTTTCCTGATCATGTTCTAAAAGATGTTTATCATTCAGCTGTAAATTGAAGTACACAGACCATAGCAAACTCTTAGCACAAAAATAACCTCAATGGCATCAATAGATGACACGTTTATTTAACCATATCCATGCTCAATGCCTGTGTCTTGCTGTATGATGCCTTTTTCTTCAAACTCTAGTTATAAATTATTTAAATGTATGGTGCAAACATCAAAAGCTAAAGGCAAACAACAGTGATGCATTGCTTGCTGAGTATACATAGTGTCATCATGGGACTTGGGGCTTAAGATACAACACGTAACAAGCTATCACTGCTGCCACAGGGCTCATGCGGGTCTGGTATGAAAATAACCATGACACATTGCTGACATTGTCAAACACACACATACACACAGAGAAACCCACTGTGATGTGAAGTGTCACTTTATTTGGCACCAGAAGTTTCATCTACTCTAAGCATTATTAATAAGAAAGATGACATTCATGTTTTCCAAACAGACTGTGTCACCCATAAAGACTAAAAAGCTTTAAAATCAGTATAACCTGGTGAGATTACCTTTTAAACTGGCATGTTTCAGTACTTTTCAGTTTCTGTATAAAAATAGAAAGTAATACGTTCACACATTTCAACTGTACGATGCTACTCCACAAATTAACTTCATATCATACACTGAACACTGCAAGTATTTTCCATTCAACATAAAGAGAGCATGATGACAGTACATCTTTAGTACATATACCATACCAAAGAATGACATGTACATCCAGACATTTAATTCAACACAATACCACCCCAGGGCCTGATTGTGCTTTGACAAGTGAAGTCCTGATAATTATGGCTATCACTGGTGCTTTCTTTGGAAAAGGTATGCAACCATGTGATATTCTAGCATGCATGGACCGTCAGTAATCTGCACAAGAGATGAGTGCATGGCATGAGACGAACTGCGTAACATCATCATTTATACGACCTCAACTTTACAGGCTTAAATCAGGTCCAAGAAAAAGGTCAAAATCATGATATGAACTAGTCATAAATGAGATATATTCTTACAGCACAAGTATATTAACATTATAATAATGTATACAGCTGTACAGTTACTTTGTTAAAAAATAAACTTGTCAGCAGTGGAATACAAAAAAAAATACGAAACAGGAAAACAGTTTATATGCCAATCCATTTGCATTCAATTTTCTGGATAAATACTTGTGAAAATGCAATGTAGACTCGTTCAGATACAATATATTTATGGTATACTAGCAAATAGGCTGGGTGAATCTTCAAAAAGTTTATCAACGATTGTATTTACAGAGTGACAGCTGAAAAATGACCAGAAATATTAGGGCTGCAGTGTAAAAATGAAATATGGCTTGTGTTTATTTTAAGATACGTGTAATATTTCCCATTTATTATTTATTACAGTGAAAGTATGTGTCATGTTTTTATGTAACAAACACTAACATTTCCATTAGTTATTATATTACAAACTGTTTGTAATCCCATAAACTGGTATAAACAGCATAGATCTCACTCACAGAAAGGTCACAAAAGCAGTAAAAAGTGCATATTTTACTCTTTGATATCGTTTTGTGACTGTCTTCACGCTGGCACGATACCTGTCCAGGCTGCAGATACAATAATCTAGTCTTAGTTTAGTCATAGCTTAAAATGGGCACACATGTTAAAATTTTAAATCATTAATTCAGACTGTGGAAAAAACGAGTTTTCAAAGTTTTGCTTACAGTTTAAAGCTGGTTACGTTCCATTCACTTGATTGAGGAGTCAAATTTGCAACGTGTGGACAACATTTCAACCCTCTGAGGCAGCGCCGTCTCAAGGTGGACAAGTAATACGATGTGCCACTGGAGTTTAGTTCACACTGTAGTTTGCAAATAACCACTACGCATATCTTCTTTACAATGGTTCAAATGTACATAAATGGCACAGAGACTCCTCTACTTTGGAAAATAAGGCACTGAAAGTTGTGCTTATATTTACATTAGAAAAATATGTTACAGTCTTCTGCTTGGAACAAGTCATGACATAATCATCTTCAGCATTTTCCTCTTCATGGGTGTCCACAGAGAGTCATCCTCCTCCATCTCACTCTGTCGTCTGCATCCTCTGTCCTCACTCCAAATACCTCCATGTCCTGTATAACTACATCCATATATCATCTCTGTATTTTTCCTGGCAGCTGCATTTCTAACATCCTTCTACCAATACACCCACTGTCCCTCGTTTGTAATCACATGTGCAGCATTTATCAAATTCAGATGTTTCAAGTAGCATTTTCAGGGCCAAACACTTGATTAATGGTAAATTCATATACTGTTCTACTCTCTAATTTTTATGTACTTGATGGTTTCCAGACATGTTCATTACTCGGGAGAAAACTGCATGATGTCAGGGTTAACAGGATAACCACTGTCTGTAAAACCTTCTCAACGTTTCACCCTCATCCAATGTATATCCTCATAATCCATTTTTAAAACACAAACTGCACACACATACACCCCACACACACGGATTCATGTGATTTCAGAGGCCTTAAATGTGCTTCGTTGACACTTGCGCTAACTTAAGCCTATCCCTTATGCTACAACAAATCTTCACTTCACATTTAATCTGAGTCAGGTCCTCTGGAGGAGTTGTTCTGTGTTGAAACATTTCATCTTCAGTCTGACTGAAGAAGTATTTTGGATAAAAGACAAACCTTGATAGATTTATCTACCTGGATTATTGTGCATGAATCAGAACATTCACATTTAATGGTTTATGTTTAATAAAATTAGTTTTCACCCCAGAAGGAAGGCCCATAATGTGACTATATGACCAGATTTATATGTGGGTCCTCACAACATGGGTAACGCCCGCCCACATGCAGTCACACAGACACACTCAGGAGT